CTTATACGAATTTAATAAAAAAAAAAAACTTTAAACTTTTTTAAATTTTTACTAATAATATTATAATAAAACTAGACAGCTCAGTCTTTTCAGAAGCCTTAGAGGATTTGATCTTTGTCAAGTTTTGACTTTCCCTAAGGGTTCAACTTTAGCAAGAGTTTTACCAAAGTTTCGACATTTCGCCAGAGTTTCACCAGGTTTTGTCTTTCACTATTTGTCAAAAATAGTTTTGACTGCCAACACTAATGACAACTAAATGATTTAATAAAGCATAAAAAATGTTTTGGTGAATGCATAAACATTTCTTTACTGTATTATTTAAATTTTTTTTAACTTTTATTAATGAATTACTTATTTTTTATTGGAATTTTTATTATTTTACTACAGGTTTATTGAAGATAATCTTTTTTTCTTCATGTCATTTTATTAATTACTTTAACTTTTTATCTTTTTAACTTTTTATCTCTTTAATTCTATTTTTTTAACTCTTTATTTTTCTAATTTTCTAATTCTTCATTTCTCTAATTTTTTATCTTTCTGTTTCTTCATTTCTCTGTTACTTTACCTTTCTGTTTTATTGACATCTTGCCTCTATAGTTTTTTGTCTCTCTGATTCTGTTTCTTTGGTTCTGTTTCTCTAGTTTTTTGTTTATTTCTTTCTGTCTTTCAGTCTCTGTCTCTTGGTCTCTGTCTTTCAGTCTTCTGTCTCTCAGTCTCTATCTTCTGTCTCTGTCTTTCTGTCTCTCAGTCTCTGTCTTTTTGTCTCTTAGTCTTTGTTTTTATGTCTCTTAGTCTCTGTCTTTCTGTCTCTTGGTCTCTGTCTTTCTGTCTTTCTGTTTCTCAGTCACAGTCTTTCTGTCTCTTGGTCTCTGTCTTTCTGTCTCTTGGTCTCTGTCTTTCTATCTTCTGGACTCTTTGTCTTCTGGTTTCTCAGTCTTCTGGTTTTTTAGAAATATAATACATTTTTTGGTAAAATTTAATTTTATCTAAATAGTAAGTTTTTTTAATAATATACTGTAATTATATTAATTTAAAGTTATAATTATTATTTTAAATAGAAATTTTGGGTTTTGGAATTAATTTTATCTATAATTTATGGGATAACTGAGAGAGTACCTATAAGTTATTAGTGTAAATTAATTTGTTTTCTTTATAATTCCTAGGATTCTGACTTGTTATAATTTGTTCAAAGAAATCAAGTCTTAAAATAGTTATAAAAACTGGCAATTTTTATAATAATTATTTATAATTCTACATAATAGAATAGCTAAGTTTTTCTAATTTTCTTTAGAATTTATTCTTTAATAAATTAGAGGTAAAGAATTTCCAAAAATTCTAAACTTATTGTTATTTGTCTCAAAATATAACTCACCTTTAGATATTTGGGTTAGAAAATTAAACTGTTATAAGCAAAACATTAAATTGCTAGATTATTTTTAAATTTAAAAATAATTCACCTATGAATCCAGGTGTAAGGAATTATTAAATAGGTCTTAATTGGATTTATTAATCTTTATGATTAATAGTTGGGTTCAATTCCCTTCTAAGACATCTAATATTTATAATAATAATTATATAATAAATATATAATAAATATACTAATAATTATTATAAATTTTTATAAATAAAGCAATGAGTCAACAAAACAAAAATAAACAAACAAATAGAGTTTATTATTCAATTACAAATACAGAAGTCAATTTTTCATTATTTGAAAATTTATTAACTGATTCAGTATGTTTTAATTTATTAATTATATATATTAAATTATAATTATTAATTTATTTTTAAATAGGTTAATATAGATTTCTATAATAATTTGTAGTCTCAAAATGAATTAAATAATTGTACTCTAGAATAATATTTAGAATGGAAAGGAGAAAAAAGTAATTTTGTAGATTTTTTAGATGAAAAATTATTTAATACTAGTAATTTTAATACAATTATTAAAAATTATTTTAATAAACTAATATTAAATAATTTGAATCTAGAATTTTTAGTAAAAAATAATATAAATATACCTTCTTTAATTTATCCTGATTCTTTAGATTATTTAGTAGATTTATCTAATGCTTCAAACTGTATTGCTTTTTTAAAAAATTTAAAAACATTTTTAATAAATTATATTAATAATAATAATATACAAAATATTATTAATTTAGAAAGTGATATAATAGAATATAAAGAATTAATTAAAGGTATTTTAAATATTTATATTAAAATAGCAGAAAAAGATTGAGATCATAAGAATTTACAACTTAAAGAAAGTTCTAAAAGAAAAAACAAAAATTAATTAGAATTGAAAAAGCAAGAATATTTAAATATATGGCAAATTCATTAGGAGAACCTACTAGAATATATAATAATATTATAGAAATACCTACTAAAGATTTACAGAATAAATATAGAGAACTATATAATTTGAATTTGTACAAATTTGAAGATTTTGAATTTATTCAAGGTAAATTATAAAT